AAATCTGATTCTAACATAAATCTAATCTAATCTAATATATTTCTCAAACCACAGAGTGATTTGACCAACTATACAATAAATAAAAAAAATCACAAATGTATCGCATTGTGTCCCAGATATCTATATATGATATTGTGTATTATGTATATTACTTATTTTTAGAAATTGAAAACTAAAGAATAATCTTTAAAGCACCTTTATCTTATTCATTACATTCCAAAATTATTAAATAAATTTACAATCATTTGACTGGCATCACAAAATGTAAACATTTTATTTTATTTAAAAAAAAAATATATATATATATATATATATATAGTAAAAAATAATAACATTAAAATATTGTTTTAAAAATCATATTAATATAATAGAAGTATAATAAAAATGTAAACCATCAAAATTTAGATTCTAATCTAATTTCTCAAACCACAGTGTAATTTGACTAACTACACACTAAAAATAAAGAATTACAAAATTAGTGCATTGTGACCAAGACATCTAAATATGATTTTGTATTTTATTATATATATTATGTATTTTTAGAAATTGAAAACTAAAAAAAAAAATCATAAAAACACCTTTTACTTTGTCTAATTCATTACATCAAAATTATTAAACAAAAGTACATTCATTGATTGCCTAAATACTGAGCAAAGGGTCTGAATACTTAGGACCATGTGATATTTCAGATTTTCTTTTTTAATAAATCTGCATAAATGTCAACAATTCTGTGTTTTTCTGTCAATATGGGGTGCTGTGTGTACATTAATGAGGAAAAAAAATTAACTTAAATGATTTTAGCAAATGGCTGCAATATAACAAAGAGTGAAAAATTTAAGGGGGTCTGAATACTTTCCGTACCCACTGTACCTCTCTTCCAACAGTAACCGTATATAAAATGCATGCAAGTTATTTTCACTTGCTATGGATGGCTGCATTATGCCGCAATGTGTGTTAGTAGGTCATTAAATGTCCATATTCCCCGGCAAACCCAAAGCACGCATCACAATACATACTGTAACCTAGGTTGGAGCGGCAGACCGACCATTTATTTCCATCCACCTCACACCTGGTGCCAGCCCTTTAGAGCCAGATCCCCTGCTAACCCTTCAGAGCTGCTTACTGCCTCCTGTGACCTCTATTTCTGCAAGCCTTCCCAAGAGTCTGCCCTATGGCACTGTAATGGAGTAATCAAGTAAGGTGCAAACCCCTCCATACTCTCATTACCACACTGCGCATATCTATGGAAATGAAGAGGCGGCCTATAGACGGTTCCACTGCAGTGCTGTCCTCAAGTGCCAATAAGGGAAGACTCTCGCGTTTCATTATAGTGCAACTGAGATGTTCAAGGGCAGGTTTGCTGGTATTGATTAGTTGTTGACAAGGATTTGTTCTGCATTCATTCAGTCTGAAGTAAACAGAGCAGTCACAGCAGATGAGCACGTGAGGATGGTCGTGATGCTTGAATCACTGTCAGCGAGGTTGTGGACTCCGAGGAATGTCTTCACCTAATATATCACATGCTTTGCATGAACAATAATTAAAGCTGTAGGTTTAACAGATGTACTTGAATGGGATATGTTTGTGTAGAGTCCATATGGGTCATGAGAAGTCATGAGGAGAATACAAAGCATGCAAACTTAGTTAAACAGAACTAAAATGCATAACTAACTTTTTCTCCCCAGAATGCAAGAATAAAATGACCCATGATACTATTGCGCATATTTTGCACACTGAAAAAAAAAGGCGTTTAAACAATTTTCACTCTGAAACTGCTAGTAAATTTGACCAATAATTGAAAAGAAATGGCAAGTTAACACATTTTATTAAAAATGAAATTTTGAAGTAGAAAGACTGAAGACTGAAATAGTATTTTCTTGTAAAAAATACTCCAAAAATATTTGTTTTATTTACAACTATGAAAAAACCTTTTAACAGCACAGTTTGGGAACCTCCCTAAAATTTTCATAAAATTATATATACACTACCTTTCAAATGTTTGGGGTTGGTAAGGCTTTATTAATGTGTTTGAAATAAGTCTCTTATGCTCACTAAGGCTGCATTTATTTGATCAAGAATACTGTAGAAATATTGTGAAATATTATTACCATTTAAAATTGCTATTCTATTTGAATATATTTTAAAAGGTCATTTATTCCTGTGATGACAAAACTGAATTTTTAGCAGTCATTACTCCAGTCTTCAATACCATAAGATTCCCATTATTGATTTTGAAAACAGTTGTGCTGCTTATTATACATTATAAACGTCTTTGTGTATATATATAGTGTGTGGCACTGCTCAACCTTGAACAGCGTTGCAGGGCAGATGGGCTTAGTGGGGTTCAGTCATCTGTTTTCCCATGCAGAGGCAGAGTTAGCTGAGTAGAGCAGTCCTAATGAGACAGTGCTTTCTGACTGCACCCAGCACATGAGAGGGATTAGCGCTCAATGCTAACAAGGTCAGATCTTAATTAGACAGGCTTCTATAACTAAGTTCAACTGGCTCAAGAGGAGAGCAAAAGACAAAAGTCCTATATATGACATAACGTTTGGGCAGGCACTTCTGGTTGTGCCCCTCTCCCCTTTTTTCAACAATCTCAGCCAAACAAGTGAACTTGTGGCATGTATTAAACTGGCCAATTGTTCCCTGTCTGAGATTTGATTTCACAGGCTTGAATGCCCCTCTGACTGATGAGGAGTTAATTAGAAAACTAACAGAACCTCTCAGGAGAGGGAAAGCCCCAGGCTTTGGACACAACAACAATCAGAGGCATTTTCTGTTTCAATATCAGCTTGTTTTTGTAAACCAAATCACATTTTTAAAGGGACAGTTCAATCAAAACTGAAAATTCTGTCATTATTTACACACACTCATGTTGTTTTCAACCAGTATGTGAAGAGGATAGTATGTCCAAATTCACAGTATTCATAAAAACAGTGGGCGAAAAGTACCCAGATGACCTACTTCCAGCAAAGCGTGCATCAGATGGACACTTTACTGTCCCATGATGCCACAGGACAAGAGTTAATGGCAGTGAATCGACACAACTACTGCTGGTAGGTCACATGCTAATGACAACATGAGTAAACATGTTACAAACAGGGTTTGAAATTAACACCCGCCAACCCACCAAATGCGGGTAAATATCAGCTGTGGCGGGTAACGCTGTCAAATCACTAGCCAATTTGGCGGGTTACTTTTCGTAAGTTATGTTCACTAATTAATTTCTTGGGGAAGTTCATGCAAGCCAAATCTGCACAGGTTTAGCGCAAATAATGAACTCGTGAGACATTATGACATTATCGAGTATATTGCAAAAACCAAACAAAACACACCTACAGAGGCACGCATACACGACGTGATGAAGTCTGGTTAGACCAACACAGGATTTAGTGCGCGTGCGCATTGAGAGTGCGATCTTTCACTGCATTATTCAGTCTATTAATATGCATTAAGAATGATCACATAATTCAAGATAAGGGGGCAGAAAATGTATAAATTTATATCAATTCATATAGTTAATCATTATCACACAAAGAGTGCCGTTTTTTTCTTTAAAAAATAAGCATGTTCAAGTTCAATAAACAATAAGTTAATATCAAGAGACTTACATTTTAGACCGCATATTGGCTGTTTTTGTGCTATTTCTGCACTATTTCACCAACAAAAAAACATTCCAAACACAGCCACAGTACTGTTGTGCGTCTCTGAGCAACATGACGTTGTTTCGTAACTGAATGAATCAACCGTTTAAATGATTCGGTTCAATCGCAATGACTCACTTAACAGTAACTTGCTGCCACCTACTGGCGGTTTTAATTTTTTAAATAATTTCAAATATCAGTATTCAACATTTCATGTTTAAAATATCAAAACATTATTTATGCATTTGTAACTGCAGGCTAAAGCATTCCATGTCCCTCTAAGCTGCATTAACATGTGTAAATACATCTAAATGCCACTTCATATTCAACTTCTGCAAGTTCATCAAAGATGAATTTTATTGATACTGATTTCATTTGTTTAGTAACAGCCTAAATGTATTACTATAATAACTGACTGATTAAATGTAAGAATTTGACTCAAAAGATGATGTACACTTTTAGAAAAAAATGGCTTTATAAAGGTAAAAATGCCCATAAAAGCTAAAAAAATTAATTTAAAAGCTAAAAATAAATTTAAACTTATTGGAAAAGATTAATTTCTATCACTGCTGTGTACTGACCACACAGAATATGAAGAATATCAAAAACTTTAGGAGTCAGCTGTCCATGGTAGTCCTTAAGATATCAGCACAATAACACACTCAGCAAAATATCGTCTAATTATCTTTATCGATAAAATCCCAGAAAATATTGAGATATTATTTTTTGTCAATAGGGCACAACCCTAGTACTGACACAATATGATTTGCAACGGTCGCTTTGTCATGCCCAGTGTAGACGGACTCAAACTGTTGGTTTATTTCTGTCTTTTTTTTTGGCCAGTAGAAGTTATGAATGGCCGGTAACTTAAAAATGTAGTAGCCAAATTGGTTGGTGAGTGAAAAAGTTAATTTCAATCCCTGGTTACAAAGTAACATTATTCATTCAAAAGAAGTACCTACTTAGAAAGTATGTGATTTTGAACACAGATGTTACTTTCAGTGAACTGATTGAACCAGTTTGTGAATCAGACTGATCTGATTCTAGTTTTTCCACACAAAGCTTTTGCATGGCATCAAGAAGACTTTTTTTTGTCACAGTGAACTGTTGTTGCATGGAAATCTCCATTTGTGTTCCATGGAAAACAACAGCATATGGGTTTTAAATAACATCAGGGTGAGTAATAATTAGAGCATTGTTTCAATATTTCAGTGTTTTGCTCTGTGTGAGTCACAAATGGTCAGCACAATAACTTCTAATGCAAAAATCACCGGGGAAGTTTTAAAGGAAAGCCCTTTGGAATTTTAATCTAATAGCATTGTATTGCATCTTGTCTTATCTCTGTTTTCACAGCAGGCGTATGCATCCTCCACCCAGCAGATGGCGCTGCCCAGTCCCAACACCACCACCACCAGCAGTAATGGAATCAACAGTGGTGGGGACCAGCTGAGCAAAACCAACCTGTACATCCGTGGTCTCCATCCAGAAACCACAGACCAAGACCTAGTCAAGCTCTGTCAACCGTAAGTGTCCTTTAACAATCCCTGTTTCGTGTGGAAATTAATTTAGGATTAGAAATGGTGGAGGCAAGTAAGGTCAGGTTCATAATCAGTAGTTGGTGAGGAACTCAGGATGTATAATTAGACCAGAAAATGCATTAAAAAACAGAAGGTGTGTGTGGGAGAAAAAATCTCTGACTTTGAGCGTCCTGATTTGACCCTTTATGAGGAGGTTAGAAATTCACTGCTGGCAGAAAATTCGCATTCATTTCAACAGAAAGTGTTTTTGAATAAGCCAATACAGCATCTTGATTTAGTAGACGTTGTGTAAATCACACATTTCTATTCATGAAATGTTTTTGATATTTTATAACGTTTTGGTGCAACGCCTGAGGAGAGCTCATTCTTCATCTTTGTATTGGTTCTCATTCCATGTGTTTTTGTTGGTACATAGGGAATTCATCTTTTGAAATAAAGTAAATAAAAAATAAAGCTGCGTTCACACTAGCAGCGACTTATGCTAAGTTCACACTACAGGATTTTAAGCCCGATTTGCAGGGTCGGGCTGTGATCGGGGGAAAATCAGCGGGTGATCGGCGCTCAGCAATCTTTATGTGTGAACTACAAAACGACACATCAAAGAGGCTCGCTGACGGCAAACAAATATCTAGCATGCCAAATATCTGGACCGGTCGGCCGACTCGACATCACGTGGCTTAAAGAAAAGTTTGGACACAGTAAATGGAGCAAAATATTTCATCGAGCAAACAGCTTGCAGCGCTAATTTTTTTGCGACATCCATTTTCAAATAAACAACTCCTGTTTCACGTGTTGTTTCGCGTCATTCCCGTTCCAATTCTCGCGTGTGTTTTCGTAACAAAACGTGGTTTGTAGAGCCGTTGGGTGACAGAGTTGTTGTCAGCTCGTGTAGTGTGTAACCCCCGGTTGCGGATCATTTACATAGTCACTTAGTGTGAACACCACAACGACTTAAAGACAGACAATCAAGTCATGTAGTCTGAACAGCACAGCGATCTGCCTATGTTTAAAGTCGTGTAGTGTGAACTTAGCCTTAGTCGCTGCATGTCACCAGGGGCTGGCGATGAGGTTGCTAGTTGGCATTCACACTGCTGGTTGCCTTGACAGCGAATCAGGTTTCTTGCCGCTAAATACAAACATTTTGGAGGCAAAAGACTAAATATAATATAAATATGAATTAAATCTGTACATACAAATAAAATGAATGAGAAACAGAGCCTACTTTTTTTCCATTGCGTATGTTTATCTATGGCTAAGAGGAGAGCGATCACATGAACTCTGCCGTCTTCTTTCCTATTGGCTGTCGCTCCCAAAAGTCGCTCTTCATTTGCATAAAGTTGAAGGATTCTGAACTGTCACTGGACACACCCCATCCGTCGCCAACGGCAGCTGTTGCACTTGTCGCTGGAAATCGCCAACTCTCCATTGAAATGAATGGGATCGTGTCGCTTTGTCGCTTGTAGTGTGAACGGGGCATAAGATCTGTGCTTTCATGGTAGAAGATGTTTTAGTGGAATGTACTGACATGAACTCAACAGAGGTTTGGGTTTCAAACAAAGCTCCTTTTTGTTAACCAACTGCAGTGTTTCCAACAGCTAGGCATGACGGTTCCCCCTCTTTGTCTCTTTCCCTGCCTGCACCTGCACTTCCTTTTAGGGTTGATAAAAGTATGTTAGGGTTGATAAAAGTGTTTGACCAGAGATTTTGACTCCAGTTTCTCCCACCTATATGTCCCAAAGAAATTTTTTTTATAAATATATATATTTATAAATATATATATATTGTTTAACCTTTTAACAACGCGGTACTTTCATTCATTTCTACTTAGCTTTGTGTTTTAGTGGTTTGATCTGATTTCCTTCATCAGTAAGTACATTTAAAATGGTTTGATTTTAGTTAAAAGGTTAAAGGATTAGTTCACCTCCAGAATAAAAACTTCCTGATAATTTACTTTGAAGCTGCATTGAAACTGCAATTTGGACCTTCAACCCATTGGCCACCATTTAAGTCCATTATATGGAGAAAAATCCTGGAATGTTTTCCTCAAAAACCTTAATTTCTTTGCGACTAAAGACAGAAAGACATGAACATCTTGAATGACATGGGGGGTGAGTAAATTATCAGGAAATTTTATTCTGGAAGTGAACTACTCCTTTAACTCAGCAATTTAAGAAAAATAATTTTCGGTAATTGAAAAAAAGCTCAAATTAAATGTAAAAAATTTGTGAAAACTTCAACAAACTTGAATGAAATTTAGAAATGTTACCTTGGCAACTAACTGAAATAAGTGAAAGTTGAATTACTAAAACTAAAACTAAATTAATTTTAAATAAAAATGACAAAGCGCCTAATTTCTAAAGCTTAAACTAAAATAAAAATGAAAATAAAAATTTTTTATTAAAAAATAAAAATTCAAAATATTAATAAATTCTATAATATTATATAAATAATACTAAAAGAACACTAATTGCAAATCTAAATTGTATTAGCTTTTTTGAGACTATTCAGTCTTCTGTTTTTTTTTAGTTTTATATTACATTCCCAAAGCAGAAGTGAACTCGATATTTTTAATGACCAGTTTGATGTAAGTTATTTTGGCCAATAAAAATATGATGTATTTTTTTAAGCTTTATAGAAGTATATATTCCATTTAAGGACAAACTACTCATATATTTAAGATGGTGAACAGATTTGAGAAGTATAGTACTGGAGATCGAGGCCCTCTCTGGGAGAAACGGCTGAGATGAGGCTGCCCAGCCCTACAGGAAACTCTGAGCCCAGGGGGAAAGGGAAAGACAAACAAGGGCAACAGCTGGGAGGGAGAGGAGACGAAAAGTTGTTGGTGATGGGGATGGAAAGACGCTGTGAGAGAGAAAGAGAGATTTGAGAGAGTGTGAGAAAGAGAGACTGAGAGAGAGATAAGAGCTAGTCAAATATATCTGGTGTTTCTTAGCAAAGAAGCTGTTGGCGGAGAGGATGTTTGGTCAAGTAATTCCTGTTACTTTTATAGAAAGCGAGAGAGCAGATCAAAAACCGAATGGTTTCAGAACACTACAGCTTGTTTTACAAAGTGAATGCTGTGAATATCACAAAAAAGAACAGCGATAAAACAATAGCTACATTTATATTTCTGATATATTTAAGCATTATCACGAGCAAGAGTGCTGATTGTTCCGAATATCAGCGGTTCAGAGAAACAGCCCGGTTGCGAGAATTATATTTCTTCAATATACAAGAAATTAAAAGTAACTTACTTACTTAAAAGTAAGTAACTTACATTTTAAACAATATTGCCAGTTACTTTGTCTGTTTTTACCTGTCAGTGAAAATAGTTCCAAATGGAACCAAAGCAAAATAAATGTGGCTCTGATCAACACACATTAGTGCCGTTCCTAAATGATTAAGTATTTTTGACCAAATCAGTTGAGTGAATGATTTGTTGACTCATTTATAAAGATAGTCACTTGTTTGGTTCCTGAATGAATCAGTGTTTTGAATGAATCAGCAGAGTAAATGATTAATTGTGTTTTGTTGCTGAATGAATCAGTCAATGAAACATTATAGAAGTAAAGCCTTTTCTTGACACTAATTTGAATGTTAACTGCTCCACCAATGCTACAACAAGGTCAATAGTTTCAATAGTTTCTTTTTTTCTACACTAATCTCTGCAGCCCATCTCATAGTGCTTGCTTGGTCATGACTTTTGGTTGGATCTCACACATGACTAACTGTCCCTCTACCCCTGGGCTGTACTGATAGTGATATCAGGGAAAAACTAAACTAAATGCAAATAATAAAATGCAATTAATCATACAGTCATGCATATGTAGGATGGCAAAATATTGTAAATAGGCTTTTGGGTTGTGGGCACAAAATTGGCACTGACGCAGTGAAAACAGTCATCAGAGAAGTTCTAAAGCTATTGTAATCAACCGTTTTAGCCCTTCAAAACCAAAATAGCCAAATATTTTAGTTTGAAATTATTTCATCACTAATAATCAAATTGCCTATTCCATCTATGTCATGTTGATCATTTTACATATTGTTGGGCCTAAGATGTTCATGGTATTATGTTTAAATTTCATGTGTGTTTTTAAGAATTTTATTTTTACATTTGTACAGTAAACTATTTTGGCAGTGCATTGGGTTGCCATTTACACCCATTTGTGCCGTTTAAAACAATAAATACATAAAAACATTTGCTTGACATTCAATTTGATGATAGAAGATGTCTTGTGAAATTCAAAACTATTAAAAACATGACAATGATTTCAGCCATCTAAATCTATTGTTATTTGTTTGCTGTTTTTGCTGAATATTTCTGGTTGCCTAAGTTTTGGTGCATCACTAATGCAAAAATGTATTCCATCTGTGTCATGTTCATAATTGTACGTATTATTGGGCCTAAGTGGTTCATGGTATTATGTATAAATATGCACATTTGTAAGATTTATTGTGTTGCGTTTGTACAATAAACAGTTTTGGAGGTACACTGGGTTGCCATGTGTGCTATTATAATTTTTTTAAGAAAACATATGCTAGACAGACATATTTAATGATTAAAGAGGTCTTGTGAAAATCAAAACTTTTAAAAGCATGTGTCAAATCACCTGTGTTTTGTTCCATGTCTTGCATGAATGACCCTTTTCGTTCGAATGATAAATAAAAAACTGAAACTAATCTTGTAGTTTTCCCATAATTCTTTCATCTATATGACAATTACATTATATAGATTTAGTTCAGTCATGAACATCAGCGTGAGGTTCTGTGCGCAGGCAGTAGGACCCAGATGAGGAGTGCAGTGGAGGGCATTGTAGGTTGATTATTGTAGATCTTATCCAGAGCTGTGCAGGGCAGACAAGGGCAGACAACTCTCAGGTTACACTGCAAGCACATGCCTGGAGAGAGAACAACCACCCCCCTCCTCCTCCCCATCCCTCAAACACCCACAAGCCTCCAGTAATCCATAGACGTGTTCACAAACCTACAGCTATAAACCTATATCATGCTGCGCAAATGCCTTTTCCCAAGACATGCAAAGCAGCATGAACATGGTATGGAATCCATTATTCAAGGAGCATTACCATTTGATCAGGGCTTCTCCACCACACCGGCACCCTCATGAAGATTTAATGCAAATGATTTCTGGATATGGGGGCTCATTAAGCAGCACATTGTGAATTGAGCGGCGCTGGTGCCCTGCATTTATGGGTTTTTGTGCTTCTGCTGCTCACCTGCTTAGATTACATTGGCTCTTCCAAACTGTGTTTGACCTTATAAAATATCAGATACACATCAGCAAGTCTTATGATTTTGGATGTATTTATTATTATGCTGTTAAAAAGCTGTTCAAGGTGTTTATCCATTCACCTAAACCAAATGTTTCTTTTTGTTCTTGTTTTGAATTACACAGCTATGGAAAAATAGTGTCTACTAAGGCCATTCTTGACAAGACCACCAACAAATGTAAAGGTAAGATGTGCTGTATAATTTCATCTTTAAAGGAATAGTTCACCCAAAAATGAAAGAAGTCTCTCATGTTTTTGCAATCCTGTATGACTTTCTTTCACAAAAAGAGAACCTTTGAATAATGAGCTGTTCTGTTACTTAACATGAGAGCCGTCAAACTCCAAAAAAGACAACCCCTCCCCCCCCCCAAAAAAAACCCCAAAAAACCCTGTAAACGTACAGTTTTCTCGTATCATAAAAGTATTGAATATGACTTCTGCCCTATATTCCAAATCCTCCGAAAAATATAATATTTTTGTGTGACAAGAATTGAATCAACACTTACAGAAATCTTGCTTGAAAGCTGTGGTCACCATTCACGTTCATTGTAGGGAGAAGAGCAGCTTGGATATTCTTCTAAACATCTCCTTTTTAAAATATTTTAAATTTATTTAAAAAAAAATTAAATAAAATACATTTAAATAAATTTTATATTTTTAAATTATTATTTTATTAGATTTTTTTGGAGATTGTAATATTATTTTAATGACAATTAATTATTCATAAACAAATAATTATTTTGAGTTTGATCTTTTCAATAAAATGTTTATCCAGTACTTTATTTTTCATATCAAATATTAATTCAATTCAATTATAATTTTTTTTATTTTTACCTATTTTATTTCATATTAAAATATTACTTTATATTAATATTATATATTCATATTTATTAAAAAAAGAATAAAACTCCTTACCAAATGAAAAATCCCAATAAAATGATTTTCCTATCAAAACTCACATTACTGCAATGCTCATTTTTGTATATTAAAGAACATCTTGGACGTTCCTCTAAACATCTGCTTTTGCATTCCATGGAATAAAGAAAGCCATACACGTTTTGAAAGACATTTTGAATTAACTGTTCCTTTTAACTCATGAGTGCACTTTAAATATACTTCATTTATTTTATCTCTTGAAAATGTGTGCTGATGTAACAGGAATGAGATTGCTATTACATTTGTGTGTTTGTGTGTGAGAGAGCGAGCGAGAGAGAGAGAGAGTGTATAGTTAACTTGGTCTTTTCTCATGTGGGACAGAGAGATTACCAGTGTGAGCTAAGGTGCAGAGGAGTGATAGGGAAAGCTATTGGCTTAACAACTAAACTCTAAGCAGTGATCACTGATCCTGTGTGTGTGTGTGTTCAGGCTATGGCTTTGTGGATTTCGACAACCCGGCCTCTGCACAGAAAGCGGTGACAGCACTAAAGGCCAGTGGAGTTCAGGCTCAGATGGCAAAGGTAAGAGACAGTGGAACTAAACTCCCTGTTCCTTAACTCTTACTTGATGTAAACCTTGTATGGCACTTTAAAACAGCTCCAAACGAATTCCAAACACGAGCATCACTATTATTACTATGGCTCACACTTAAGTTTGGGATTTGAACAAACCCCTAAGCCAAAGTATTCAACTTTGGTGCAAATTTCACCCAGCAGGGTTTCTGCTTTGGACATGAATGATGCTTCAAATCATGCGGATTGATGAGGGAATATATGCTATTACTTTCCTTAAAAGACTTGTTATTTTCGGCTGATAGACGATAACATTTCCGAAAAAATCCATGAATTTAGACTGAAGAAGGGAACTGGGCCTTATCTAGGGACTAACAAAAAACAAACTTGCTAGTGAGCAACCACCCAGAACTTTTGCAAACACAATTTAAGAAACATTTCTTATTATTATAAATGCTGAAAGCAGTTGCTGCTTAATATTTGTTGTGGAAACCATAATAATTTTTTTTATGTTTTTTATTATTATTATTATTATTATAAAGTTCAAAAGAACAGCATTTATTTGAAAATCAAATCTTTGTAACATAAAAATTTTTTTAATTTTTTTAAATGATAATTGTCATTAGCTTTTTTTTTGTTTAAATTAAAGGGACTACAAAAAATATGAGCATGTTACTTTATATATTAATTTCTTTGCATTAAAGTAATAACATTGATATTTTTATTGTAATAAGAAATGAGGGAGGGGTGTGCTTAATTGTGCTAAAATAATAATGTGACAATACAATTATGCAACAAAAAATAGGGGTAAGTTTCTTTACCAAATAATTGTATTCTATTTCTGTTCCCTTTCATTTTGGAGTAAAATGTGTCCTGAACATATTCTTGAAAGTATCACCTATTTAATCCACTAATGCAAAAATGTATTCCATCTGTGTCATGTTCATAATTGTACGTATTATTGGGCCTAAGTGGTTCATGGTATTATGTATAAATATGCACATTTGTAAGATTTATTGTGTTGCGTTTGTACAATAAACAGTTTTGGAGGTACACTGGGTTGCCATGTGTGCTATTATAATTTTTTTAAGAAAACATATGCTAGACAGACATATTTAATGATTAAAGAGGTCTTGTGAAAATCAAAACTTTTAAAAGCATGTGTCAAATCACCTGTGTTTTGTTCCATGTCTTGCATGAATGACCCTTTTCGTTCGAATGATAAATAAAAAACTGAAACTAATCTTGTAGTTTTCCCATAATTCTTTCATCTATATGACAATTACATTATATAGATTTAGTTCAGTCATGAACATCAGCGTGAGGTTCTGTGCGCAGGCAGTAGGACCCAGATGAGGAGTGCAGTGGAGGGCATTGTAGGTTGATTATTGTAGATCTTATCCAGAGCTGTGCAGGGCAGACAAGGGCAGACAACTCTCAGGTTACACTGCAAGCACATGCCTGGAGAGAGAACAACCACCCCCCTCCTCCTCCCCATCCCTCAAACACCCACAAGCCTCCAGTAATCCATAGACGTGTTCACAAACCTACAGCTATAAACCTATATCATGCTGCGCAAATGCCTTTTCCCAAGACATGCAAAGCAGCATGAACATGGTATGGAATCCATTATTCAAGGAGCATTACCATTTGATCAGGGCTTCTCCACCACACCGGCACCCTCATGAAGATTTAATGCAAATGATTTCTGGATATGGGGGCTCATTAAGCAGCACATTGTGAATTGAGCGGCGCTGGTGCCCTGCATTTATGGGTTTTTGTGCTTCTGCTGCTCACCTGCTTAGATTACATTGGCTCTTCCAAACTGTGTTTGACCTTATAAAATATCAGATACACATCAGCAAGTCTTATGATTTTGGATGTATTTATTATTATGCTGTTAAAAAGCTGTTCAAGGTGTTTATCCATTCACCTAAACCAAATGTTTCTTTTTGTTCTTGTTTTGAATTACACAGCTATGGAAAAATAGTGTCTACTAAGGCCATTCTTGACAAGACCACCAACAAATGTAAAGGTAAGATGTGCTGTATAATTTCATCTTTAAAGGAATAGTTCACCCAAAAATGAAAGAAGTCTCTCATGTTTTTGCAATCCTGTATGACTTTCTTTCACAAAAAGAGAACCTTTGAATAATGAGCTGTTCTGTTACTTAACATGAGAGCCGTCAAACTCCAAAAAAGACAACCCCTCCCCCCCCCCAAAAAAAACCCCAAAAAACCCTGTAAACGTACAGTTTTCTCGTATCATAAAAGTATTGAATATGACTTCTGCCCTATATTCCAAATCCTCCGAAAAATATAATATTTTTGTGTGACAAGAATTGAATCAACACTTACAGAAATCTTGCTTGAAAGCTGTGGTCACCATTCACGTTCATTGTAGGGAGAAGAGCAGCTTGGATATTCTTCTAAACATCTCCTTTTTAAAATATTTTAAATTTATTTAAAAAAAAATTAAATAAAATACATTTAAATAAATTTTATATTTTTAAATTATTATTTTATTAGATTTTTTTGGAGATTGTAATATTATTTTAATGACAATTAATTATTCATAAACAAATAATTATTTTGAGTTTGATCTTTTCAATAAAATGTTTATCCAGTACTTTATTTTTCATATCAAATATTAATTCAATTCAATTATAATTTTTTTTATTTTTACCTATTTTATTTCATATTAAAATATTACTTTATATTAATATTATATATTCATATTTATTAAAAAAAGAATAAAACTCCTTACCAAATGAAAAATCCCAATAAAATGATTTTCCTATCAAAACTCACATTACTGCAATGCTCATTTTTGTATATTAAAGAACATCTTGGACGTTCCTCTAAACATCTGCTTTTGCATTCCATGGAATAAAGAAAGCCATACACGTTTTGAAAGACATTTTGAATTAACTGTTCCTTTTAACTCATGAGTGCACTTTAAATATACTTCATTTATTTTATCTCTTGAAAATGTGTGCTGATGTAACAGGAATGAGATTGCTATTACATTTGTGTGTTTGTGTGTGAGAGAGCGAGCGAGAGAGAGAGAGAGTGTATAGTTAACTTGGTCTTTTCTCATGTGGGACAGAGAGATTACCAGTGTGAGCTAAGGTGCAGAGGAGTGATAGGGAAAGCTATTGGCTTAACAACTAAACTCTAAGCAGTGATCACTGATCCTGTGTGTGTGTGTGTTCAGGCTATGGCTTTGTGGATTTCGACAACCCGGCCTCTGCACAGAAAGCGGTGACAGCACTAAAGGCCAGTGGAGTTCAGGCTCAGATGGCAAAGGTAAGAGACAGTGGAACTAAACTCCCTGTTCCTTAACTCTTACTTGATGTAAACCTTGTATGGCACTTTAAAACAGCTCCAAACGAATTCCAAACACGAGCATCACTATTATTACTATGGCTCACACTTAAGTTTGGGATTTGAACAAACCCCTAAGCCAAAGTATTCAACTTTGGTGCAAATTTCACCCAGCAGGGTTTCTGCTTTGGACATGAATGATGCTTCAAATCATGCGGATTGATGAGGGAATATATGCTATTACTTTCCTTAAAAGACTTGTTATTTTCGGCTGATAGACGATAACATTTCCGAAAAAATCCATGAATTTAGACTGAAGAAGGGAACTGGGCCTTATCTAGGGACTAACAAAAAACAAACTTGCTAGTGAGCAACCACCCAGAACTTTTGCAAACACAATTTAAGAAACATTTCTTATTATTATAAATGCTGAAAGCAGTTGCTGCTTAATATTTGTTGTGGAAACCATAATAATTTTTTTTATGTTTTTTATTATTATTATTATTATTATAAAGTTCAAAAGAACAGCATTTATTTGAAATATGAATCTTTAATAACATTGTTTTTTTTTTCTTGGACCAACAAAATATTGTATTACTGATTCAAGGAGAAACTAATTGATGGTGAAAGTAAATGCCACCAATCACTTTAGTGTAGGACAGCATGATTATTTTACCACACTTGGCCTGTCTGTGGGTGTTGAGCTGGTGTCCCCATTAGGCTCATGCAGGTCTGCCATTGAGAGCAGTTCAAAGTAAGTGCCTGAGGAGTATTTGCTCCAGGTCTACAAAGAGGTTGTGTGTTCTTTTTCTCACCCATGGCTGAGTCACTGTCTGAGCAGCTTGGCTGGAAGTGCTGCAAGCCCTCCGTAGAGGACCGTGGCCCTGCAGGCCAACCACTCACACAGCCCTGCTGTCACTCAGATCCTCTCACTGATTTCACATCTTTTAATGAATTTTATTTAGTTTATGTAGAACAATTGGGTGAATCTCATGAAAAAATGTCCAGATCATATTTCACAGCAAAATAAAAATGAATAAATAAATAATGACAAATAATAATGATTTTATTTTTAGAATTGAGAGGGGGGGAATATTATTTTAATAATAACTAATTATTCATGAATAATTATTTTGAGTTCACGTTATATTTATTTATATTTTAGATATTTATATTATTTCAATGACAACAAATGTATTTTTATATTTGATTTGATTTTAATATTATGAAAATGACAATTATCATTACTGAAATGCAATTACTGTAACAAAACATTCATAATTGCCATTATGCTGTGTATATATATATATATATAATTATCATTTAAATTTTTTTAATTTTTTTAAATGATAATTGTCATTAGCTTTTTTTTTGTTTAAATTAAAGGGACTACAAAAAATATGAGCATGTTACTTTATATATTAATTTCTTTGCATTAAAGTAATAACATTGATATTTTTATTGTAATAAGAAATGAGGGAGGGGTGTGCTTAATTGTGCTAAAATAATAATGTGACAATACAATTATGCAACAAAAAATAGGGGTAAGTTTCTTTACCAAATAATTGTATTCTATTTCTGTTCCCTTTCATTTTGGAGTAAAATGTGTCCTGAACATATTCTTGAAAGTATCACCTATTTAATCTGTAGATCAGTGTGAAAGGGCAACCTCTTCGCATAAGA